TACATAACAAAAATATTCTACTGCTGCCAATAATATGTGAGCAAGTTTTGCCGTTTTGTTATGTTTTGTCGAAACTTGCGAACTCAGAATTTTTATCAGAAAAAATGGGCTGAAATTTATTTCATGACAAAGGAATTAGAACACAACCAGTGTTGTGACAGACTTTGGTGGTATCCACACAACCACATTCGGAGACTCGACGGTGAAGGCCAAGCTTGGAAGCTGGACGAAGTCTTCACTGGCCGAGCTTCGAAACACCGAGGCCTGAAAGGCCTTGGACGCGATCCTGGGAACGCAACCAGTGCTGTAGCTCACATCCTTGCTTCTCGAGGACGTGTTCGTGACAACGAGCACTAGAGAGGTCCCAGATTCGTCCCTTGCGGCCACTAGACTGTCCGCAAACTTCTCCGTTGGCAACATCTCAAAGCCTGGCCTGATGAATCTAGAAAAGTGCTTGAGTACCTGGTACTGCTTGCGGATTTGTAGATCATGTTTTCCTTGGTACGTGAACAAGCACTGGATAAGACCCCATAAACTTCCTGGCACTTCGAGCGCTTGCCAGTAGCACCACGCCGATGGCTGGAGCTCGTTTATGTCCAGACTGATGTGCCTGGCTACTTGCACTGCCACCTCCCATTCGTTGCCATTCCAGTTCAAGGGCCCGTATTCCGACATCCAGAGTCTCTTTCCAATAGAGCTAACAGCCTGCCTTACCTGAAAAGCCGAAACACTTAGATCGCCCAACAAAAAAGAAGCGCTTCTTTCTCTACCTCTTTCCTCCTTGCAGTCTCTTCTCTCGTCACGAAGTTGATGTAAGTATGCACGTTTACTTGATCGATGGCCGAGACCAATGGCTCGTCCATCAAACGCAGCAGTTTTGGAGTGTTAAAGCTCCAGGCGTCAAAGACACTGAGCTTCGTGGACAGGCCCTTGTCGAGAAGAGCTCGTTTCACATCCAAAACGACCTGCGCAATTCTTTCTCCGTCTTGGTTCAGCTGGTTAATTAAGCGGAGATTTACCTGGCGCATGGACGAGAACCGAAAGTTACATCCCTCTTGCGCTGCTTTGCTGCGGTTGATATTCCACCATCCCTCGACTGGCTCGTTGAAAGGTGCGAGATAGTCGAAGTGCAAGTCGTGCTCATCTTGGTAGTACCTCACAACTTCAGTCAAGTAGTCCACAAAAGCGGTGTAATACTTGCCGTCCAGGTTATCCTGGCCCCAGTTGTGGTTCCCTGCGACACACCAAGATGGCTAGAAAAAAAGAAAGAGAAACGAAAAATGAAAAAATGTAAGATCACCTGTGACAGAACCACTCATGGTCATCCACCACGGTGGCGAATTCGAAAAGGCCTCAAAAATCTGAGCGCCTCGAGCTCGAGCTCCCAGCAGAACTGAGCGTTGCCTGGCATCAGCAGCCCAGACATATGGCCCTGACGGGCCACCCGGACGAAAGCCAGGCATATCAGCAAACGGCCTCAAGTTGGAATCACCACCAGTATACGCTCCGCCGCCAATGTTGTAGCGGACAATGGTGAATCCCAGGCCTTTCTCCGCATCAAACAGCAAATCCAATACGCGTTGCTGCTCCTTCTCAGGCAATCCTCCTACAAAATTTGCCCACCTGTTTTACTATTCAGTAAGAGCGACCAAAGAAGCAAGAAAAGTTAAGTTACCAGCACAGTGAAGTCCCCCAGCCTTCCCATTTGAACGATGGAGTGTTTGACGTATCTAAAACTATCATATACTCGTCCTGGACGAGTGTCACAACGCGTTAGAAACACAAAGATGAGAAAAAGCTTACCTTTTCTAGAAGCCCAGGCCAGACTTTCATCCAAGACGAAAGCGTCAGCTTGTGTTCTAGAACAAGCTCTGGAAGAGAAGCCGCCGCCAGGCCGGAAGTGATCGACCTGCGCCATTTCTCAAGGTGAAACGAAGACCGAAAGATGGAAGCTACAAAATTCGAGGTGGAGAGTCGTCGTGCCGCGCAGCAGCTAGCGCAGCCACAAGCGGCGGTGAAGCTGGTGCTACACTCGAGAGCCATAGCCAGACAGCCAACCGACCAGCCAGCCAGCAGCACTCCTCTCACTCTTGCCTACCTAAAGCTCTGTGATGACACTTGGCATCGATGCGTTGCATACCCATCTCTACCGTTCGATCTCGGACAACGATCGGAGAGAGATGAGAGCAATGCCGTGCCTGATAAGAGAAAGAAACTTTCAGTGCACCTCTCTCCGTGGTCTTATTTTTGAAACACGCCGAGAGAAGCTGCAAAACACAAAAGTAAATCACGCTCCCAAATCAAAGAAAAAGAGGGAAATCAAAATCAAAACGTACCGAAAATTCACAGAAGTGGTGCTACTGCCATCCTCAATAAAAGTCGCCTTCGGAAAATCTGCTACTCCACACCTCCTACTGTCGCGAAAACGCTCTACATCTGTACCAACGTCGGGGCGATAAGTATATATATGTTGTCTCTCCTGTCTGCTCTTCCAATCCAAAAATCCAAAACCGGTGAATCATATCACGTAGAATTCCAGACCTGCACCGTTCTTGTAAGCACCCTGGCAATCCGGGCACACGAAGATGGCGTCCGGCCTCCGGATGAAGTAGTCGGAGCTGCTCTCACACCCGGGCCTGTTGCACTCGAGGCACTTTGGGAGGCGAAGCCAGCAGTCGGAGCAAAGCAGCCGCAGGCAGAAGGTTTCCTCGTAGTCCGTGTCATCTATGCACATCCCGCAGTCTTCGCAGCGGGAGATGCAAAAGATACAGCCCCGGCACTGCGGAATCTTAAGTGCCTTCCAATCGCGGCACTTGTCCCTCGTGCAGTCGAACACGGCTCTCGGCTGCTTGCACCTCGGGCACGCCTCGACGTCGATAGCTCGCTCGTCTACGAAGCTCGTGGTGGCGTCGCCACACAAGTAGTAGTGTGGTTTCAGTGACTGCTGCTGCAGCTGCGACTCGTCGACACCAAGTAGCATTTGTAGCCGCTCAAGGTTGTCCTTTGTCACACCGGAGAGGCCACGGATCTTGATCTGCTTCACCCCCAGCCCCTGGGATCTTCCCCGCTCGAGAAACTCCACCATCCTGACGACAGCGTCCACGCTGATCCTGATGCAGCCAGGGAGAAGAATCTGGGAAAAAAGAAGTGTCAGCTAAGCTAGAAAACTCTGAAGAAAGTATGAGACTCACCCTCGAGAGCATGGGATTGGACGCCACCACTTGCTCGATAGCCTCGTCCGAGATCCTCAAACACTCGACGAGCATGAGACTCTGGAGCCGTCCCTGGCTCCTGGCCGCGAGCTTGAGCAGAGCCTCGTCCGTCAACTTTGTGTTGAGCGAGTGATCGATCTTGAGGTGCTGCCACAGCAGCACGTCGCAAGACACCGCGTCTTTCAGGGACCGGCAGACTTGCTCCACGGACAGGAGGTCCTTGAGCAGCAAGTATGGCAGGACGTAGAATAAACCTTCGTGCGGAGAAGTCGGCACGGAGCCTTCGAAAGGACCCTCCTTTCCAAAACCATCCGTGCTCCACAAAGACGAAGTCCCCTGGGTGAAGTACGATGGTCCTGTTGCCTCAGCCTCACCGATCTTCTTGTCAAAAAACCCAGCTTTATCCGCGTCCTCCTCGAGCATTCTCAGCTCCTGGCTGAAACCTTTGAATCCCAGGCCGGACATGGTGGCGTCCCAGTACCCACCACCCTGCTGGATCGCCTCCAGCTCTCGCTTGGCCTGTTCCTTCCTCGAGTCCACACAGCATGGCTTCTTACAGCTCCCGGTGATGGCCTCTTCCAGCTTCCGCCTCGCATTCTCCAAGAGGCACGAGAACATGTCGGATCGAAACACGGGATCCATGCTCTCGCACTCGCTGTTCTTGGCGGCGTTGGCAGCGAACAAAGTCTCCACGCACACCCTGGGAAAATCCAGTGACACCCAGATGGAATCGTCTGTGCTCTTCCACTGCCTCAGCTTGCCGGGCGATTCATCTTCGCCCACTGCCTGGTTCCCAAAATCCATCCAGTTATGCTCCTATCCTCTAGCGACTAAGATCTTCTCTCTCTCTCTTTTTAATCTTTTTCTCCTCTCAAAAAAAAAAAAAAAAGGAGATCTTCCTCTCTTCGAGCAGTCAAATTCTATCGCCCTCTCTCTTTTTCTTCTTTTTTCCTGCTAGCTACCGATTTCTAATCTAAACGACTGTGTGAGCTGCTGGACGGGATCTAGACGAACCTGCGAGGACGAAATCCTACCGAGGGATGTATTGACAGGAGGACCAGCGATTGCTGGGGCTTCGCGCTGGCCGAGAATGCGGCAGCACAGAGAGGATGTCGGTCGGATCGACGGACACGGAACTGCCAACGAACGTGCCCTCTGTGAACCCTAACCCTAGAAAAACGCTAGCCCAAACTGACAGAATAACCTCAAGCATCTTTGACAGAATATGCCTGTCTAGCAAGGCCAATCAGGGCCGTTGATTTTGTGGCATTGGATCGAGCGATTAGGGCAGGGAGGGAGGAAGGAGCGAATGGCGAGGTCGAACGGCGGGCTGAGCTGGTCCGAGCAGTGGGGCGGATCGCGCAGCAGTGATGGCGTCGGCGCTGGCGGCAATGCCGGCGGCGGGCAATTCGGATCGTCGGGGCCCAAGAAATCCTCCTCCAAGAGCGGCGGCGGGAAGAAGATCGAGGACGCCATGGCCAAGGCCAAGGTGGTAGCGTCGGCCGGGGCGGAGAAGGCGCGCGTCGCGGCTGGGATTGGGGCTTCCAAGGCCAAGATTGGAGCGCTCAAGGTGAAATCCGGGGCCGTGACAGGGTTTAAGTGGGTCAAGGAGCAGTACAGCAAGAGGACGACGAAGAAGTAAGCGCGAACGAGCGATCGATCGATCGATTTCCATGGCGAGAGAGTGCGAGGGCAGTGTAATTTTTGTGTAAGATTGGTAGCGCCGCGTCGAGTGTAGAAAGAAAAAAGAATACAAGAATATACCATCTTGGAGTAAAAGGATTTAACCTAAGGCTCGGAGGAAAATATTTCGAGAGCAGAGCTATGGCGACTGCCGGTAAGAGTGGATCCTACATTCGATCTGGGCGCTCACTCGATCCATCCAGCAGGTCCGCTGCTCAATGACATCAAGATCTCCGCCACGCCGGTGGCGGGATCGTTCAAGGCCAAGTTTATGGATGCTTATCACCGGCTCAAGAAGGAGCTCATCACCGATTCCGAGAGCTTTTCCCACACTTTCGAGTCGAGAGAATGGGTGTCCAAGGTGCTTGATCTCTTTTTCCCAATGCCAGACTCACATAGCCGTGTCTTTGTACCAGATGCTCGACTATAATGTTCCAGGAGGTTTGTTTTGGTCTCAAATCTCTCTTTGTTATTGGATTTGGAAGCGAATCTCTGGAGCTTTTGCTGGCAGGGAAGCTGAATCGGGGGCTCTCCGTGGTGGATAGCTTGGTGTTGCTCAGATCTGGCGAGGAGCTCAGCGAAGACGAGCTTTTCCTTGCGTTTGCTCTTGGATGGTGCATCGAATGGGTAGGCATTCTTGTTTAGAGACGTGTTAGAAACGAGTTTTAACATTTGCTTGCACAGCTCCAAGCGTATTTCCTGGTCTTAGATGATATCATGGATGATTCACACACGAGAAGGGGTCAGCCTTGTTGGTTTAGACAGCCAAAGGTAGCTCTTTTCAGTTCTCATCTTTGAATTCTTTTTCCTTCTGGACAGGTTGGCTTAATTGCTGCAAACGATGGCATTCTTCTCCGGAATCACATATCCCGTATTTTAACAAGGCATTTCCATGACAAGCCTTACTACCAGGATCTGCGAGAGCTATTTGATGAGGTATTATTATCTGTTCACTCTGGGAGGAATTCTAATTAGTTTTCTTTAAATGTCAGGTGGAGTATCAGACTGCCTGTGGACAGATGCTCGATCTTATTACAACTCCACCCGGCGAAGTCGATTTGTCCAAATACGTAATGGACACGTAAGAAATCTCATTTCTCAAACCTTTGTCTTGACTTTGTTTTCCATGCAGCTATTTAAGAATTGTAAAATACAAGACAGCATATTATTCTTTCTATCTTCCAGTAAGTATTGCAACCTTGTTCTATGACAGCTTGACTGTGTTTCTGGTGCTTCACAGGTTGCATGTGCTCTGTACATGTCTGGAGAAGATGATAAATCCAAATTTGAATCTGCTGAGAGAATCCTTGTGCAGATGGGAACTTACTTTCAAATACAGGTGTGCATACAACTTTGTTTTCCAATCCTTACTGACAGAAATTTGTTTACCAGGATGATTATTTAGATTGCTACGGCCATCCCGACGTTATTGGAAAAGTAAGTTCTCTTGCGATTTACCTTAGTTTTTGCAGGAGAAACCATTCCCCGGGGCATAGTGATTTGCGTTTTCCTTGGTGCTAAAGCTTTGGTCTCTTCTTTGGTCCTACTAATAATCCTTTGGATATTCAGGTTGGAACCGATATCGAGGATACCAAATGCTCGTGGCTTATTGTACAAGCGATAGCTCGTGCAATCCCCGAGCAGAAATCCCGACTTTACAATAACTATGGACGCAAAGATCCAGCGTGCGTCGCGGAGGTGAAGAAGGTGTACAATGAATTAAACCTCGAGGTAAGAACTTACTCTTCTTGCTGTTTTAGCATTCTTGTTCTTGAGTGCTTTTCTTGTGATGGATGCCAACTCTTGACAAGATTGTATTGGAATGCGACAGTGAATGCCCCTCGTTTGAGGCCTGGATAAGCTTCTTGGTCTCGTCCAGGCTAGAAACGGGGCTAGAGAAGAACTCTTTCGCTCTGTGACTGACCTCGAGTAAGCATTTTTCTCGTTGTGCTGCAGAAACTTTTCCTCGATTACGAAAGCGAGAGCTATGACAACTTCATGTCGATAATCGACGACGAGAAAAGCATTGAGCTACAGGTAACTTACATTGTACACTCCAATCCCTCTCATTCGTTTCGTTTCCATTGCAGCAAGTCTTGAAGCTCTTCCTTTCCAAAATCTACAAGCGTCAAAAATAAAATCGCCCAGACAGTGATGACAAAACCTTTTTTTCCAAAGCTTTTAATCCCAGCCGTTGGTTGTGTTCCACGAAAAGGGACGTGAACTCTATATATCTCTTGTTTTAGGGTTCTTGGTTAGGGTTGGCGATGTCTTCTCTTCAAATGGACGATGACAAATTCTCTAAATGCAAAGAAGCGATCCAAAGACTAATGGCGACGATCGAGAGCTTTGATGCCAATTGTGATTACGATTCGAATTCCGATATGTATGAAGATTATGCGCAGTTCCTCAAATCATCATCCAAGATTACAGAAGAGATTATCAAAGTAGACTCTCGTAGGTGGTCAAAAACTTGTTGAAAAAGTCAAACTGTAAATAAAGATAGTCAAATTGTGCCAAAGACTCATTCAATCTTGCAACACTCGCGAATCTCGATTCCACGCCACGATTCCTACCTTGCGATCTTGGGATCTGCCTACTTCCGCGCCAATCGCCTCCTCGACGCGGCCAAGATCTTCAATTCCATGCCCACCAGGCGCCTCGTTTCCTGGAACATCATGGTCTCGACGTGCTGGGCATCTAGATCGCGCGCGCGAGCTGTTTGACAAGATGCCGCTCCGCGATGTCATCGGCTGGAATTCGATGCTGGCGGCATTGGTCTGATTCGAAGGGATGCCCGGGAAGTGCCTCGTCTAGTGGAACTTTGATGCTCTCCCTCTATCCAAACTGCGATCTCGCCCAGGCCAAAACGATGATCGATGAGATGCCGCAGAGAAATGTGATATCGTGGACGATTGTGCTCGTCGCCCTTGCCAAGAGTGGATATATGCGAGAGGCAAAGGCAGTGTTTGCTTCCATACCTGTTCACGACCTCTTCGCTCTCAACGCGATGCTCGAAGCATATGCCCAAAATGGGCATTTTTGCACTAGGCGCTGAAGCTATGTTTCCAGTTTGAGGGACGTGAACACGATTCAGCGTTGGCATGAAATGGTGAGCTGGAAAACGCCACGTTGGTTTCTAGCGCCATGCCGGAGAGGGATTTTCTGTCGTGGACGTCCATGCTGGTCGCAGCACGGGCATTTGGAGGAAGCAAAGCAAATGTTTGATGGCCAATGCAAGGAATTATGGCAAGGGTATAGGCCCCTGAGCGTGGATCCTACTGACTTGGCATCTTGTGAATATTCCAGAATTGAAGATCCATGATGAAGATCATGAAGCATGACATTTTTTCCCACTATGTGTTCTCGGAAACACATGCCAGCCAACCATTTTTTAATGGTTGCAAAATCCATGTGGCTATTCATGCCATTTTGAGTTGGTTTCATCATTAAAAACATGTACATTTAACCATCGTGAAATGAGGGGTGATGATCACAATCGACAATCTTCCATGGATTCCATCATGAAAATGGAGCTTAGACCATGGGCAAGCAGGCATTGGATTTTGTTTCTCATGGTGTTGGTTCATATTTACGGTGTGTTGGACTTGCAAAAACTCAAAGTATTGGTGAATGGTTCAGAGAGGCACGGCAAAGTGCTAGGGTTTGTGGCATGACGGCACCGATCTTCGGGGGAGATTATTCTTTCTCCCCAACATAGCCTTTCATAGGGTCTTGTGACATCACACCAGCTCCAGCTCGCAATGGAGTGCTTGAGAAAGTACATATTAGAGGCAGGATGGACCTGGATGGGTGGGATGGCAAAGATTCGCAAGGTCTCTGGAGGACTTCAGGTCTAAGTTCTCAACAAAAGGCATGAACAATTTCTCGCTTAAACACTGCAACCATCTTGCCATTGCATTTGAATGCTAGGAAGAAAATAAAATCAAAACAAATTATAGTCACAGTTATACATCTTTATTATGTACTTTACACGAAAAATATTTAATGATGTTTTTATTAACATTTATTAAAGTTTCAATAATAAATATTTTTTATAAATTTAAAAAGTTTTATCTTTAAGTTCTTTTGAACTTGGATGAACTATATGTTTTGCAAATAAAATTATAGTGATGATAAATTCAATGTAATAAATTTTAAAAGTATTTGCTATAAAACTAATTAAGAAATGCTAGAAATATTTCTAATGAAAGCTATAATCCTCTAAATTTATATCTTATTTATTATGTTAAAAATAAGAACGATCTGGTAATTTTTAATTTTAATTTTTTAAAATCTAACTTATTATTGATTAGTATTATTATAAAATAACAATTAAAACCATTTGTCATTCACTTAGCAGGTCACTTAGTAGGTACTGTTGCATTATATTTTTTTATTATCTAAGTTATAAGTAATAGTGACTCTATAGAAGGAAGAGAGTACAATAATCACATTTGACTTTGAAAAGTGTAATATAGATGAATTTTACATAAGAGGTATAATATCACATGAAAATTCAGGAGCTGATGCTGAATGTTGGGTTGATGTATTAAATTTATCAACTGGGTTTGTAACACGATTTAATTTAGCATATTTAAACCCAGCGGTCTCATGCTACTTGGGGCACTTGTAAACAGTATATAAATGAATGAATGAATATAGAAACCTGGATAGAGAAGGATAATTTAGTGCATGTGGAAAATAAATGTAACATCTAGTAATAAATAATTTGCTACATTTAGTAGCAACATTTAGTTTGCTTTATTACAATGTTTATATATCTTGTTCTAGTGCTAGAAATGAAACAAGCAAAAGGAGTGCTGAATTTTTTTATAAGAAAAAATATTAAGCTGGAGATATAGTGTTTTTCTATAACCCATAACATCTTGCAAGATACTGCCAGCAACCTCTGTAATCAGATGTTTTTTGTTTTAAGTAGAAATTTAAGATCAATCTCGCTAGGCTTAGACCTTAACAAAGCTATTAAGCTCTATCAATTTGTTAAAAACTCATCAAAGACGGAGTTTACAATGTACAGGAAGTCTTAAAAAGCAGAAATTCTCCTTGATAGTTAGCAAGATTCCCTTCATGGGGATCCTCTAGTTGAGATGGCAAAATTACTGATTCTTGCTGATTGGGCATTCCATTCTCGAGTGTTTTCCTTGTGATGGATAACAAGATTGTATTCAAATGCGACAGTGAATGCCCCTCATTTGAGCTTCTTGGTCTCGTCCAGGCTAGAAATGGGGCTACAAAAAATTATTTTTTCTTTGTGCTGCAGAAACTTTTCCTCGATTGTGAGCTATGAGTTATGACTCTTCATATCGACAATTCGTGAAGAAAAAACATTGATAAACTCTAATCTCTCTCTCTCGTTTCAATCGCAGCAAGTCTTGAAGCTCATCCTTTCCAAAATTTACAAGCGTCATAAATAAAATCACCCCAATTAACAGACAGTGATGATTTCTCTCAAATCTTCTATTAGGGTTCTTGGGTAGTCAACAAGGTTTTGACCACCTACGAGAGTAAGAACGAAAGCTCTCGATAGGAACGCTTTCAAATCCAATCTAGATCATGGTGAGAGTATGGAAAGGAAAGAGTGCCTTGGACTCATTCAATCTTGCAACACACTCCCACGCGCGCTGGAGCTGCGCTCGCGAATCTCGATTCCACGCCACGATTCCTTTCTCGCCAACAAGCTGATCGAGATGTTTGGGCGATGCGGGAGTGTGGATCACGCCCACGAGATCTTCGCAGGGATGGGCGCCGCCAGGGACGATTTCTCCTGGGATCTCATGCTCACTGCCTACTTCCACGCGAATCGCCTCCTCGACGCGGCCAAGATCTTCGATTCCATGCCCACCAGGCGCCTCGTCTCCTGGAACATCATGGTCTCTGCCTATGCCCGTGCTGGGCATCTAGATCGTGCGCGCGATCTCTTTGAGAAGATGCCACTCCGCGATGTCATCTGCTGGAATTCGATGCTGGCGGCATTCGTCCGGGCCGGGAGCGTGGAGGATGCGAAGGAGCTCTTTGATCGGATGCCCGGGAAGTGGCTAGTGTCATGGAACTTGATGCTCTCGCTCTACGCAAACTGCGATCTCGCCCAGGCCAAAGCGATGATCGATGAAATGCCGCAGCGGAATGTGATTACCTGGACGATTGTGCTCGTCGCCTTTGCCAAGAGTGGAGATTTGCGAGAGGCCAAGGCAGTGTTTGATTCCATGCCTGTTCACGACCTCTTTGCTCTCAACGCAATGCTCGAAGCATATGCCCGAAACGGGCATTTGCACGAAGCGATGAGACTATTTTCCCAGTTTCAAGAGAGGGACTTGGTGACATGGAACACGATCCTTGCAGCGTTGGCACGAAATGGTGAGCTGGAAATTGCCACGTCTGTTTTTAGCGCCATGCCGGAGAGGGATTTGCTGTCGTGGACGTCCATGCTGGTCGTGTATGCCCAGCACGGGCATTTGGAGGAGGCAAAACAAATGTTTGATGGCATGCCTGAGACGGACATGGTGACGTGTACTGCCATGTTGGACGTGTATGCGAGGCATGGAGATGCCAGGGAGGCAAGAAAAGTCTTCGATGACATGCCACAAAGGGATATGGTGTCTTGGACAGCGATGCTGACTGTATATGCCCAGGCGGGGGACTTGCTGGCAACGAAGAAGTTGTATGACGAGATGCCACGTCAGGATTACGTGTCGTGGACTTCCATGCTTGGAGCGTACACGAGGCATGGCAGCGTAGAAGAGGCTAAGGGCATGCGTGCTGATGTGGCACAGGACGACTTGATTCTCGGCACAGCAATGCTGACTGGATATGCCCAGCAAGGGCATATTCTAGAAGCAAAGCGAATGTTTGATTCTATGCCTAGGAGGGACGTGGTATCCATAAACGCGATGCTATCGACTTATGTGCAGGGTGGCTGCTTAGAAGAGGCACGGGCATTGTTCGATTCGATGCCAGAGAGGAATCTTATTACCTGGAATGCCATGATCCATGGATATACTCTAAGAGGGCATTTCCAAGATGCTATTTTCTTGTCATGTAAGATTCCTGAGCACTCACTTGTCTCGCGGACTTTGGTGCTCTCGGCATATGCCCAGAATGGGAATCTGACTGTAGCAGAAAAACTCTTCAATTCTATGCCAGAGAGGGACACAATATCTTGGAATGTGATGCTTGCGGCGTATACACAAAACGCGCAAATCACCGAGGCCTCTCAACTCTTTGAAGCAATGGCGTTAATACACAACCCGGACGAGATCACACTCATCTGGGTGTTGATCTCGTCCAGCCATTACGGCAAAGCTTTCGCTGCTAGGACAAATTTCCGATCCATGATCAGCGATTTCCAAATGAAACCCACAAAGCTCCACTACTGCTGCATGGTCGACGTCCTCGGCCGTGCAGGGTATCTAAGAGACGCCAGTGATCTCATCGCAAAGATGCCTGTTCTTCCCGATTCCTTGGAATGGACGAGCTTGCTGGGAGCTTGCTTGAGTCACAACGATCTAGAATTGGGAGAGGTCGCCGCGAAGAAGGTGGCGGGTTTTAATCCCGGGGCTGTGACGCCATACGTGCTCTTGGCAAGCATGTATAGGAGCCGGGGCCACATCCGCCGTCCATTCCCAACGGGCGGATGCGGTGGCAATCTCGCCGTCCAAACGAACGGCTGGGATGCGTCTTTTTCCCACCGACAGGGTATTTAAGTTAGGGTCGACCTGAGGTTTCTTCTTGTAGTGAATGGCCGTTTCTTGGAGGATGGGGCCAGGGCGGGCAATGGCGGCCGCCTTGATCCTTTTGATTGGAGCTATGTGCGCGGCGGCGATGGCTGGATCGTCCGACAGCGATCTCTCTGGTGAGTATGCGAGTTGGTGCGCGAAATTTGGGAAGGAGTGCGCGTCAAGCAACTCCCTCGGCGATCGCCGCTTTGAGACCTTCAAGGAGAACTTCAGGTACATCGAGGAGCACAATCGCGCGGGCAAGCACTCGTATCGTCTGGGGCTCAACCAGTTCTCGGATCTCACGAGTGAAGAGTTTCGGCAGCGATTCCTGGGCTTGCGGCCGGATTTAATCGACTCGCCGGTGTTGAAGATGCCACGGGACAGCGATATCGAGGAAGGATTCCAGAATGTGGATCTCCCTGCTAGCGTGGATTGGAGGAAACATGGCGCGGTCACGGCACCCAAAGATCAAGGCTCGTGTGGTACGCAACCCTTTTTCTTCCCTTTTGGAATTCCTTTCCTTTTGATGCTTTGGTTTTGATCGTGACTGGTTTGATTGTTTCTTGTTTCAGGGGGATGCTGGGCTTTCGCCACGACTGGTGCTATAGAAGGAATCAACCAGATTGTCACGGGCCAGCTTATGAGCTTATCCGAGCAAGAGTTGATCGACTGTGACAAGAAGGCTGATAAAGGATGCGATGGAGGTCTGATGGAGAACGCATATCAGTTCATCGTGGAGAACGGTGGACTTGATACCGAGACGGACTATCCATACCATGCCTCTGAGAGCCACTGTAACATGAAGAAGGTAAGCTTTTCCTCCTTCGACCTCTTCCTACTTGATTGTTTTGCTTCTCGGGTGTAGTTGAATTCCCGCGTGGTGGCCATTGATGGTTACGAAGCTATACCGGATGGTGACGAGCAGGCTCTCTTGCGTGCTGTGGCCAAGCAGCCCGTGAGCGTGGCGATTGAAGGCGCTAGTAAAGACTTCCAGCACTATGCCTCGGTAAGTTTCCAAAGTTCGTCAAGTTCTAGAAAGTGCTAACCTTCTTTCGCAGGGAGTGTTCACTGGCCATTGTGGTGAAGAGATCAACCACGGAGTCCTGATCGTTGGCTATGGCACCGAGGACGGCCTCGACTACTGGATCGTCAAGAACTCGTGGGCCGCCACCTGGGGAGACGGCGGCTTCGTAAAGATGCAGCGGAACACTGGCAAGCGCGGAGGCTTGTGCAGCATCAACACGCTGGCCTCGTATCCGGTAAAGTCTGGTGGCAATCCTCCACAGCCGGAACCTCGGCCACCATCGCCGGAGCCACCATCGCCAGCTCCCGAGCAGCAGTGCGACAAGTTCAACAAGTGTCCCTCGGGCACCACTTGCTGCTGCCGCTTTCCAATCGGTCCAAAGTGCTTGCTCTGGGGATGTTGCGGCGTCGAGTCTGCCGTGTGCTGCCCGGATCATCAGCACTGCTGCCCCCACGACTATCCGGTTTGTCACCCAAAGGACGGGCTTTGCTTGAAGGTACTAGCTATGCTTTTTCTCTTTCTCTTTTCCTGGGTTCTAACAACACAGGATCTCGTCCAGAGTTCTAGCGACGTGCGTGGAGTGAAGCTAACGAAAAGCACACTGCCCATCTGGAGCTGATGACAATGGATTGACTATGTACATATTTTTCTACTGTGTACAGAGCTTATTTAAATTTAATATTATTGTTATCTATCAATTAGTAGGTAGTTAAAGCGGTTAAGCAAGTGCTTATAAAGTATCATCCTTCAAACAAAAATCATAGTCACAACTTGTTGTATGTCCGACGCTTAAAGTTTTTCACCCACCACCAGTGCTGTTAAGTCTGTGTCTGTGACAATCTACCATGAAACAACTGAATAAGATCTGGAAACCAAGCCAAGATAGTAGAAGTGTCACCTTCTTCTCGTGGGCCACTGCCTTGAACCTCATGAAAACTTCGCCTAACGCTTCCGTGTCGAGATTATATCCCAGCTGAAACAATTCCAAAACCATCTACTTTGTGATCCGAAAGAGACATCAGTACCTTTGTCAAACGTGCACTGAGGGCGTGCTTGCCGCTACAACACGAAAGAAGAAGAAGATGACAATGTATAAGATTCTAGAAACACAAACCTGTGCTTCCCGAGGACTATGTGTTCGGCGTGTGTTTGAACGAGCCCGATATCGCTTGGTGATAAAATCTCGTAAGTTGCCCGGTTCTTGAGAATACCATCCTGACCAAAACAATTTCCACGTAAAAACTAAAAAGGTTTCGAGATGACATACTTGGTGAACTCCACTTTCATGAACAAAAGCGTTGGCTCCAACGATGGCTTTGTTTGGCTGGACGAGCATTCCAGTGTAGTCTTCGACCTGGAGCATGGAAACCAGGCCACAGTGAGTTTCTTCCAAGAAACTTGGAGAGATCTTCATCAACTTTTAGACGCCACAAGTTCCTTCCAAGAAACTTGGAGAGAACTTGTCAAGCTCTCTTACCGCTTGACTTGTTGGATATATGTGCTTGGTTTCAATCCCCGTGTAAAGACCTTGCAAGAGTGGATCTCTACTGCGGCACTTCATCGCCATCACCACCTAAATCGATCACGAGTGTCGACCGACCAAATCAATCAAAGTCTAAGAGTTCCCCACGCATACCTCCTCGAGTGACGCGTTTCCAGCTCGCTCTCCAATGCCATTCATGGAAACTTCTAGCTGGCGAGCTCCCGCAAGCGCTGCCTTTAATTCGATCCAAAACCCAAAGGAGTCTCAAACAAAACGTGGGAAACTCCGGAAAAATGGTTTTTACCGCAAGCGTGTTGGACGTGGCGAGGCCAAGATCATTGTGGCAATGACAGGAAATGGTTACTCCCTCGATTCCCTGGGTCCCCTGTTTCACCCGATTGACGAGGCTGGCGATCTCGGATGGAAACAAGTACCCAACAGTGTCTCCAATCCCAACGGAGGTAGCTCCGGCCTCGATCACGGCCTCGAAAATCTCGCACAGAAACTCTGGATCGGATCTGTGGAGGAAAGGATTGCAATTCGATGTGATCGAAAGAGCATTTGAATGGAATTTACCTCCCAGAATCCTCGGCACCGAACTGGATGTCGTGGCAGCCCAGGGATTTGGCGTAGGCCACCATCTCCGCGGCAGTGGCGAGAACTTGCGAGGGCGATTTGTTGAGCTTGTGCTTCATGTGGATGTCGCTGGTGGAAATGAAGGCCAGGATTCGCGGCTTGTGGGCGTATCGGATGGCCCTCCAAGCAGCATCAATGTCGGATTTGACACAGCGCGCGAGTCCGCAAATCACTGGCACGTGTTGTTCTTCGCCTTGACCTTCTTCGTCTCGACCACGATGCAGATCTTCGCCTTGTTTGTAGCTCCCGACCTGGCGAGCGATGAGCTCCACTGCCCGCGACTCCTGGGGCGATGTCGCGGGGAATCCCGCGTCGATCACGTCCACTCGCAGCCTGGCCAGGCGCTTGGCGATGTCGAGCTTCTGCTGGATGGAGAAGCACACTCCCGGAGATTGCTCGCCATCTCTCAGGGTGGTGTCGAGGATCTGGACATAGTTTTGCGGCAGAGATTGTTGCTCGCGAGTCGAGTGTGCGCGGCCATTTGCGGAGCTCCTGATTAGAGGCTGGATCCCAGCTCTCCTCGACTGCCCAAGACTTGGTGCCGTGCCGCCAAGCATCATCGTGAATCTTCTCAAGGAATGTAAATACCTAAAGTAAAAGCACGTCATGACAAACAATTTCCTGCTTTTTAAAGAGCGAGGTGACGTAGACGAGATAAATATTTCTTAGTTAAATGGTCTTCCCCTCTTATTTCTTCTCATGTTTCTGTTGCATGAGCAGCCATTTTGTGTGCTTCTTCATTTTAGATGCTTTTGTGGTTTGTGGCTGTCCGAGTCTGTGCACCACCCATTCTGGCCTCCCTCAGCCCAACTGAGAAGAGCCAATTGACCTTCGACGCGGAAGCTCTTCACTGGTCACGATCCTAGGCCCTCTTCTTTCGTTGCCAGGTCGTGTCATGGTATTAGTTGTTGCAATGACGGGACTGCATTCTAGGAGGATTCTAGGAGGATTCTAGGAGGATTCTAGGAGCGAGCCATGGCTCCCAGGCGCTTGTTGTTGAGCACGGTGTCATGGGTTTTAGACATCATGGGGACTGAGCGCTTGTAGTTGTCTTCGGCAGTTGCCGGTTGCGCCTGTGAAGCCTTATCTTTTCCTCTTGCCCCGTTTCTAGCAAGACTTCTTCTCTAAAAGCCCATCAACGGTGCAATGCCCTCTGAGCTCGTACTGTGTTCCTAGCAAAGGGTGTGGCCTTGAAACTGCTGCCAGACAGTCTTAGCAAGCGAGTGGCAATGATCCACTTCAACAAATTTCATGCAAAAGTTTCCCAGATCGAATTGTGGTATTGTCCTTGAGAATTTAGGCTTCAAATTTCAAATTTAAGAATTCAGAATTACATTACAAAAGTTTTTCTACAATGCACCCAGGTTGGACAGCTCTACTGTGTTGGAAATTCTTGCAGTCCCCTCCTCATAAACGCTCTGATTCGATAAAGCTTCAATCTGTCGTTGTTGTGGCTTTACAAGGGACAGGGACAGAGAGAGAGAGACAACACACCTACGCACGCACAGTTAGAGAGAGAGTTAGAGAGAGAGAGAGAGATATTTTTAGGTCACCGTGGCACCAGTCTGGGGCGATGTTAGCGAGGATTTGTTGGCGTCGCTCAAGCATTGAAGGAAGGCTGCTCCCTGTCGACTCTATGGAGAGGAATCCCGCAAGCAAGGACGTGGTAGATTCTGGAAGGTATAGTTGCAGTCGTGTGTAGCCTGGGCAGCGAAAGATGGCATGTTCCACGTCCTCGATCTCCCTTTCACAGACTGGGCATCCCCAATCTCCCCAGGGGGTGGGGGACCGTCACCATGCTCCGATCACGCTATGGAGATTGTGCACTCTAGTCGGTATCTC